GCTGGCAACAATGATGTCTGGAAATGTGTTTCATTGGCAGGGACGAGGATGGTGGACAATATTGACTTTATAATAAATGGAGCTAAATTAAAAGCAGTTAATGAGGATAAAATGCAAAGAACCCAAGACCATTTTAGGTTTCATTTTTAATGATGATAAATAAGCACTTACAGGGTTATTCAATAAAGAGAATTATCAGCTATTCAAAGTGAAATCAAAGTGAATATAAAATGTAAGATAAAAATAGTGAAACTCGTCAAAATCTCCCGATCAGCTTAGAGTTTGCCTGCAAACATTTCTCAGTTTAGTGAATAACCCCGTTATAGTGGTGTTGTCCCATTTTTTTAACCCCTTAAGGACCAAACTTCTGGAATAAAAGGAAGTCATGTGTCCTTAAGGGGTTAATGAAATCCTTTATTTTCTTTTTAATTTATATTAAAGATTTAGCAAATTACATCATAATTCCGTTCAGGCAAGGCAAAGCCAGGGCAAACATTGCAAATGAAGAGTAGAAATAGAAACATTAGTTAATTTCTCCTTTATTCTGTATGCTTTCTCAATGCTGATTAGCTGCCAGGTGCAAAGGACAAAGCTTATGACAATGACTGACAGGGAGTTAAGATGGAGACACCCAGTTGCAGGATAAAGAGGTGTGGATTTCTATGTTTACATTTTTTTTTCATACATCACAAATACATTTTTGTTAAATATAGGCAAACACATAATATTAATCATTCTGTGAAGTGACAGTTCCCCTTTAAACTCATTCCTCAACTTTAAGAGGGTTGTATATTAAAGTGGCAATTCAAAATTGATTTTACATTTAAAGCCAGAGTTGTCAAACTGACAGAACTTTTCCAGTTGGGCTATTTTTGTATCTTAAATTTGAAATTCTCTTTGAATTCTCACTTTGGCGAAATAGTGAAAGCCCACACCTCAAACTGTGTGAAAAATTGAAAGTGTTGTTCTCTTGTCTGCTGCCTTTGCAATCCCTCCCCTTCTAACTCCACCCAGACTCTCTGTGGCTGTCCAATCGCAGACTTCCCAATGCAGCTCAATGAGATGTCTTTGCAAGGCAGCTGCTCTGGGCAATTGCTGCCTCTTGAGTTTTGCTCTACTGATGTTTAGCTCTACTGAGCTTAACAACCAAGATGTAACAGGAAATCCAATAACAAGGTAAATTTATAAAAGTGCCACTTTTTTATTCAAATCTGCAATTTTTATAAAATGAAATAAAAAGAGGATACACTCTTCACACATAAAGCACTTCAGCAAGTTAAAATGCTCTAGGGATCCGCAGTGTTCATTTACCCGACAAACCTCAGTAAGTGCATAAGCAATTGACTACTTTTTTTTCCCTCAAATAGTTTTTATTAGGTATTTAATATTTTAATAAAATACAAATGACAACAATTAAATGAACAATAATAAAACAATTGGGAAGGGGAAACTTGGGGGAAGTATCCATCCGAATTTACAATATTTTTGTGCAGTATTGATATATCTATATTTATTGATGATAATAAAACAATTATAATATATCTATGTAAAACAAATAAAACAAATTTGTACAACTAATAATTTACGGTTTGAATATCTTGAATTATAAGCGATAAGATTTTTTAACCTTGTGTTCCAACTCAATCCAGAAATAATGAAGCTGATCCCATAATAAAGATGGCTGTCTTTGTTTATTAGCTGATTACTTTTTTATATAACTAACATTCATGATTGTATTGTATGTACCTGTCCTGCATAAAGATATTTAATAAAAAAAAGTACCTTTTCAAATTATATGTTTTTCTGACTTTTTCGGCTTAAATAATTCCCTTTTCAGGTCTACTTAATTAACAGTTTAGTAATTGAACCCATAATCAATATAAATATAAAAAAGTGAATGAGTTAATATATGTGTTTATGTTGTTTTGTGTGCCGAGTAAGGTATAAAAAACAATTAAGATAAGAGCTGTGTAGTCAATGATGTGAAAAAAACATGTAGAAAGCAAAAATGAAATTGAAAAATGGAATGTGTGATTAAGTGGTGGTGAAAAAGTGAAAGGGGCATGAAGTAAAATAGTCATGCGAAAGTAAAACCAAATGAAATAAAACTGGTGACTGGTGAAGTGTTAAGTCAAAGGAGGTCTATTAAAATGTTGATAAATGAGACCGAACGTCCGTGACTGAGAGAAAATATTATATGGATCAAGGGGAAAAATACGTTAACATATACATAAAGAAATAGAAAATAGATTTAAAAAAGCCAATTAGACTGTAAAATGTGATTTTTTTTTTTTACTTTTTCTTTCCAATTTTAACTTGATTGGTTTCATAATGAGGAGTGGTATAGAAAGAAAATAAAAGGGTGAGGGAAGAGAATGTAGGCACACAGTGCTACATGATGTAATTTCTACACAGTTGTTTCAAACAGCATCGGCAAACATAATTCAAGTAAAAGTGTTGCAGGTAAAAAAAGGATTTATTTTTGCAAATAGTAAATGGTGCCCATAATATACACAATTTGGGAAACATGGGTGACAACACAAATGTAGGACATTCTCACATCTGTGTGTTGCTTATCTATCAATTATAACATCTTTAATTAGATGGTATTAATTCCAAAGTTAACTAAGATTAGACGAGAAAACACAATAACTTGGACATCTCTAGTAGAAATAATCTCACATGCATCTTTCAAATGTGTTTCATTAATTTTCTACCAGTATAGCATTGTGTCTCTTAGTTGTAAAAGATGATACTAAGCTTTCATAGGAAACATACAGATGTATTTTGTTGTGCAACCGCATCTTTCATTGGGAGGGGAGCTTTTACAACCAAGATTTGGCATTTTCTGGTTATGCTGCTTTTAAAATATAGTGAGTTAGTTTCATAGGACCCGCGCATAAGAAGCATTCATAATGAATATTTATCAGGGTATAGGAGTATTAATATGTTAGTGACTTTTAAAGTAAATGCTGAACATTTCTTTGTAATTAGATAGCTCTGAAAATTGTGTTTCATAGGTCACTCTAAACATTGTGTATAATAGTACCTAAGCAATTGATACATCTCTAGCAGTTGATGGAACTACGTACTTTAAATTTGTCTACTTCTTCTTTTACACTGTACCATCTGCAAGGAAGCTTTCTGAGACTTCTATTAAGACTCGTATATTTTTTAAAATACTATTATTCACTAAACTGTGTGAGTATATAAAATAATAGCTTGCCTGTGCTTTGACACATTTCTATTTCATATATGTAACAAAGTTTATTAAATAGTGTCCTATTTAATTGAATGTGTCCTATGTTGGGATTTTAACATAGTAGCTCTGTTACATTTAGTGTAGTATTTTTAATCATAGTGGTCATTTTAGTATATATGAAGTAGGTTGTTCACAAGAATAATAATACATGTGTGGTTTCCCTTGTTATTGCTGTACATGTACAAAGTGGCTTGTTTTGATTTTCAGCATATCATTGGTCTACTGAAGCAGAACTGTGGACAAGGATGGTCTCATCGGCTTATGCAACCACGTAATAACACAGACCACTGAGATAAGAAGTTTGAGATACAATTTCTTCTTTGCTAGGATCTTTATAGTTTAATGTATTTTCAGTTATGGAATCTGCAGGATAGATGAGACTATAGTATTATTAAATTCTACTAGTAGTGTCTGGCTTTTCACATAGTAGGGCAAATGCCCATAGGTCCATATAACTGATATCAAGACCAGTAATATCACATGGTCCACAAATGAGTCTAATTTTAAATATGATGTATCCGCGTTTCAAAGCTGTTGAAGGGCCTAGGTGTCCAACTGGAACTTTGGTTCAAAATGCACATTGGGTGGCCCTAAGTGAGTTTGCCTCCCAAGGTTGTGGACCTTGGGGCCACTGTATCAATTGTTAACATATGTATTTCATGGCTCAACAGATTGCTTATTTTATAGAACTGCCCTGATATATACATCATGTAAATATATGTACCCATATTTTGTACTATCTCTCCAGTTCTAAAAGCTTCAATCAATTTAAATAAAAATAATAAAAAAAAGTATAAACAATGTTTAAACAACACTATTTTTAACCCATCAAAATATATGTGGGTTTATAAGAATTTCCAATGCAGGTCTTTATTTTACAAGTGTGCTAGAGGGTATCAAAGGTATATATTTACAGCTGGACAATGTGGGATTTATTGACAAGACAGATACCTTTTTTCTATTGGTGAAATAATATTATTTCAGGCAAAAGGCACATTCCTAAATTAAGAGAGCATCAGGAATTGGATACAGCAATCTACGCAAATCAATATTGAGCAATGCTTCATATGTCTGGCAGATATCAATTGTACCCTGAGTTACCAAGACATAAATTGCCTTTGTTGCAATTTTATCCCACTTCCTTGTTATTTCAGGTCAAAATCGTCTGATTGTGGAGGGGGTGGCTGACCACCGAGCAGTATGGCCGCATAGAGAATTGCTCCAGAATTGAGCTCCCAAAAATCAAACTAGAGAAGCTGCAAACACATTTTCACCGAGCTGCAAACAACTCCCTCGAGTTCTGAGAGGAAAATGTCCCAGCACAAATCCAAAAAGTGGCAATGAAGGCGGAGAAAGTGAATTTTTTCAGCCACAAAATTCCTGCAGTGCATCTAGGTCCACTGCCGGACTCGCAAGATGGCGATGGGGACTCATACACAAGTATGAGTGTGTGGATCATCCGCACCAAGTCCTCTTCGGAGGAATCTCAGTTTACCACCCAGGATTTTTTCCCCCACTACCCAGTTAATGTCCCCCTTCCTACTAACGCAACATTCTCTGCCTTAACAACAGCAATGTACTTGTCACTAGCTCTGTCTGCATGGTTGCTTGATACCTCCAACAGTAAGACTATGTGTATTACTCTTTAGTTCTCACCAATCTCTCGATGACTATAAAAATACAATCCCATAACTCAAGAGGTTTCAACCACCCACATAAACTGCGTCTCCTCCTAGAGGAAGCAAAAAGGGACAAATTTGATATCCTATGTGTCCAGGAGACACACTTTTTTACAAACAGAATTCCCACATTTGGCTTAAGGGAGTATCCGACCCAATATCCCGTCACTCATTCATCTAAAACCAGGGGGGTCTCCTTCCTTATTCATAACTCACTATCATTTGAGCCCTTACAGATCAAGAAAAATGCCCAGGGCAGATTCCTCATATTTCACTGCATGATTAATGAAGCAGAATACACCATGGTCGGGTTCTATGGACCTAATGACCACCAGAGGAAATTCCTCCACAGGCTCCTCAACAAAATCCCAATAGTGCCATCTAGTTCACTAATCCTGTGCGGGGACCTGAACCATGTCTTGGATTCTCATATGGACACTACCCTACCAGAGTCCTCCCCCAGACACTCAATACAAATGTAAAGCAAAGCCTTACTTAAACTCATGACAGAATTTGGTGTATATGACTCCTGGAGAACAATGAACCCACATGAAAAAGAATATTCCTATTACTCCAGTGTCCATAAGACCATCTCCCGAATAGACCAGATCATGGTACCTGGCCATCTCTTCACTCATATCACACATTGTTCTATAGGGCCTATAGTGTGGTTGGACAATGCACCGACCATCATAACCCTTGAAAACACATTCTCCCATAGAGGTCGGACACTGTGGTGACTAAATGACATACCCCTACAAGACACAAGCTTTACCACACACTTAACGGAAGAGCTAGAAAACTATTTCACGCTAAATGACACCCACGCTCTTTCTCTGGGAGGCCCACAAGCCCACAATCAGAGGCCTACTGATTAGTAGAACCTCATTCTTAAAATGCAAAACCCAGAGTGACTACCTAAGTCTCTTGCGCATGTTGTGTAACGCAACGAATGCTCACACCCTACTACTAGCAGACGGCCACCTGCGCACAATAGCTGACACCACTAAGCGCATACATGAAATGCAACTAGCCACACTCCAACGCATGAAAATAACTAACTACTCTCAGGGGAATAAAGCAGGGAAAATACTCACAAACATGCTGAGAAAAAAACAAATACAATCCAAAATCCTATACTTAATAACAAACACTGACACAAAACTATAGAACCCCCAAGATATCAGCAATGAAATGGCCAATTTCTACCATGCCCTATACAATCTCAAAAATGATGGCAGCACCCACAACCCAACCAGTTCCGAAATTGAGGTCTTTCTGGACCTCACATCCCTACCGAACAGCAACAGCCTCACAACAACAGGAGATACTGCAAAGCCCTGTCACATCCCACAAAACCATACAGACCATAGCGGCCCTACACCCGGGTAAATACACAGTGCCGGATGGCCTTTCTAACTCATATTACAAACTCTTCTCTCACATTTGGAACTGATCTCACTACTCAATATGGATACGAAATTATATGCCAAAATTTACTCCAGCTGAATGACCCATATTATCCCCAGGATCATTCACGCAGACCAAGTGGGGTTCGTGAGTGGGTGAATGCACTTTACTCCCACCCTTCGGCACAGGTAGCTAATGAGGGTTACATGTCCCGGCCCTTCACAATCACAAATGGCTCACGACAGGGCTGCCCACTCTCCCCCATCCTCTACATCTTGACATTAGAACCATTAACCCAGCTAATTAAGGACAACCCCTACATCCATGGCATTAGAATCAAGAATAAATAAACTTTATTCGCAGACGATATCCTGCTGACACTTGAGCAACCCCATATCTCATCCCAAACTTCCACAACCTCCTCCAACAATACAGCAAATGTTCCTATTTTAAACTGAATCTTTGGAAAACACAGGCCATGGGCATCAATATTCCCAAACACACACACTAACAAATCTGCAAAGCACATTCGCATATGAATGGCGAACTGACTTTCTGGAATTCCTAGGCATTGCCATAACACCACATATCTCGAGCCTTGTCAAGGCAAATTACTTAAGCTTGCTCGCTGACATAGGAAATTGACTGCAGGGATGGAAGGGGAAATTCATATCATGGACAGGCAGCATAGCGGCCACAAAAATGTTAATTATCCTGAGGTTCCAATATTTATTCCTCACCCTACCGATCAGGCTCCCAACCCGTTACTTTCAAGAGGCGCAATCACTTATAAATAATTTTGTATGGAATAACTCCAAACCCAGAGACGCTAAAGCCATGCTATATAAACCTTTCCCCAGGGTTGAATGGGACTACCAAATGTCAGGGGTATTACAAAGCAGCCATAACCAGCCCATTACTGTCAGCAAGTAGCCACCCCAAACCCCCGCATTGGTTTGATATCAAAGCAGCCTACACTCATGATCTTCCCCTTTTGATGCTAGCATGGATGCCCAAATAATTGAGACTGAAAATTAAAGACATGCTCCCAACGACAAAACTAACACTCCAGGTATGGGACCACTTCCAAACCACACATGCCTTACACACTTACACTACCAATAGCCGCGCTACCCTTCCTCATCCTGAACCTTAGCCACAAACTCTGGCATAGGCACAACATCACACACTTCTATCACATATTCCAAGGGTCTACACTACGGAACTTTAATGACTTGCAGGACAATATGAACTGCCTAACATGGCTAAGTTTTCATACACACAGTTGATCTCATGGTCCAATAAACAGTCTATTTTGTCATCTGATATTGTAAATGGCCTACAGCTGATGAACGTAGAAAAAATATGTCTTTGCCTACAACCGCCCACCAAATTGATATCCATCATATATGCGAAAAATATGCAACCCACAAACTCCAAAACCTTTCCCTTCATACGAGCATGGGAACGGGAACTAAATTGTCCCCTAAACGACACTCAATGGTGAAAATTTTTTATGGTGCTCTCCCTGTGCATCTCCCATATGGAGCTGCCAGAAAGATACCATACCGGTGGTACCTAGTCCCCACACAATTAAAATATACTAACCCAGGCCTGTCGGACAACTGCTGGTGTTGTATGTCTGCACAAGGGACAATAAGCCATATTAAGTGGGCCTGTTCTAGTCTAGCACAATTTGGACTGGTGTGGAACAACTCATACATAAATGTTCAGTGCCGAAGCAACCTGACGTATACCTATTGCATCTCTTCCCGAAGGGCTTCCCGAAAGCCAACAGTTACCTAATTTACCATATACATATAGCCGCGCTGACTACAATCAGTAGATTGTGGCACTCACCTAATACGCCATCTATCCTGCACTGTGTCCAAATACTGGACAGAACAAGGCAATGTGAGACAATGGCAAGGAAAAACAGGTAACGACAGCCTGGTCGGCATGGGAGTCCTACCTCTCACAGAACCCCAGGCCCGACACATAGTTTACATGGCCCTAGTAACATTGATGACACCGTCACCTTAGGCAAAGATTGCCCGCACCTGTCCTTACCCTTTACACGAGAGCTCCTCTCTGAATATCATTGAACTTAAGAAAACAAAATAAGTAAACTAGTACAAGACAAAACCGCCTCTCCGACAGCTGTGGCCATGTTGAAGACTACGGTGGGAAATGCCAGGCGGGGATACATCCTACAACTCCCATCCCTTGCTAGTCCCCCTACCCCCTTACCCCTTTCCCCCCTTAATCCAGTTTCCCCAATGTTAATTAGCCATGTAAATAGACAAATGGTGTTATATATGATATCACAGAATGTGCATATAACATATGTCCATATGTCATTACGTCTACCTGTGTAACATGCATGTACCATGTAAATATTGTGTAATTTTGCACTGAAAAACTGAAAATAATTATTATTATTTTTTTTAATTGTCTGTATGTATGCCTCACCCACCTATAATAACACTTTTCTAAATGTCTTGGCTCTTTACAAATAATCATATTTATAATAATCAGAATAGTCAGTAAGAATCAATGTAATTTTTAATATAACTGCAGCCCAGAATAGTCAGAAATGATCAACGCAACTTTTAATGTAAATACCTAAGAATTAGATGCCAAGACCACAGATTCACAGCCCTAGTAATCTATCACTTGTGTTTTGGAAGGTTTAGAGTTAAAGTTTTTTTCTTCATAAGCCCATATCAGATGTTTTATATCTGCTGCGTTTCTACACTAAAAGCTTTAAAACTATATATTTATCATGCTGCAGTACAAAGTCTTCTTAAGATGTTTGCTTGTGACTTATGCTGCTGTATTCATGACTGAAGGTATACATTTGAATAATAAACTAAACTTTTCTTTAAAAGCAATCTTAATAAGTAGCAGCATAAAGAGACATGGCAAATCAAAATGAAAACACAAATCAAAACAAAGCAAATAAAATGAAATATTGCAAAAAAAAAACAAAAAAATAAGAACAGGACAAACCGTGCATTCATTATAATGAAACTTAATGAACCATCCATAAAGCATACTATGAATGATACTTCACTTTCAACAGCAGAGTAAAAGGTTTTGATGCACACTATTTATAAATGGGAAAATAGAAGAAGTTGCCCAAGAATCCTTAGTAACAAGGGCAGGCAAAACAAATAGCACAAATGCCGTCTGCTTAGTAAGGAGTTGTGTGGATTTCTACCCTACCTCCTCAATCCTGGTGCAAGGGGGAGGAAAGTCAATAAACAGTCAATGCCTTTGTTTTAGAGAATGTTTGTGATGTTGTCCATCTCCATTGTTACCTAGCTGTACTATAAATGTCCCCCCATTTTGGCAGGCAGCAAGCAGATGAGAGTCCAAAGACAAAGACACAACTGTAAAAAGCAAAACAATTGTTTCCAGCAATGTGGAGACAGAAGGAAGTAGTCCAAACGTGCAATAAATTCAACTAATTACCTAATTATCCAATGTGACACTTTCTGTGTTATCAAAAGGTCTGACTTTAAGGCTGAATTATCCACATCTCAGGATTCCCTTGGAAATAGGACTATGAGAAAAAGGTTATCTCCCTTGTTACAACTGTGTAGTCTATAATGCTGCTATAATGTTCTACCATCCCCAAAGTGAAAATGTACTCCATTATACTTTTGTTACATGTAATATCACATTTATTATCTAACGCCATGTGGTTTGATTTATGCAGGGCAAAACACCCAGAGAATAAAGGACAGAAATCAAGTATTAGAATTGGTTTGACTGATCTACTTGTCCCAACTTGCTTGCATGAAATGAAATATAATATTGAGCAATTAAAATGTCATATTATTGATTGGGTGCCTCAAACAAGGAAAGGGGAACAGATACAAAAGTTTAAGCGTACAGAAAACATTCTGGATAATGGAATTAGATTCACTTACCCCAAAAAGACTTAATCAGGAGCACATCATATATCTGATGTAGTTATTAGTACTGATGCTTTTATTTTATGCTGTTTTATCTTTTTTTAAGTCCCTTGGATAGGCAACGCATGTTGGTTCACCACAGTCC